CGCAGTCTGCCCCTCCCCCCCCCCCACCTGCAGACATCGACGAGTGCCGAGAGCTGAACCAGCGCGGGCTGCTGTGCAAGAGCGAGCGTTGCGTGAACACAAGCGGTTCCTTCCGCTGCGTCTGCAAAGCGGGCTTCGCACGCAGTCGCCCGCACGGAGCCTGTGTGCCCCAGCGCCGCCGCTGACGCTGCTCTCCACCATCACCGAGGGGTTTCCGCGGACACTAGGAGAACTCAGCCTTTCCCTCTTGCCCGGACTCGGGGCTTGGACCCAGGGACCCTCAGGGGCCCGCAGACCCTCTGGCGTCCATGCGAGCCCCGCCCGGTTTCTAGGGCGGATATAGGGTCTAGGGGGCGCTGTCAGCCTTCCTCCTAAAGGGCGTTTCCTGGAAACTGATAAATCAGATCATGCCTCTTTAATTTACTTTCCGCTTTTGAAGCAAATTGATGTTCATGTCCATGGTGGGGGAGGACTGCCCAGGGCAGTGCCAGATTCCAGCCACCTTGGAAGGGCTAGACTGAGCCCAGGACAGGGGATGTGAAATAGAATTTATTGTGGCTCTGATTATGTACATGAGATGGGCCTGGCCTGGCCGGCCGGGCTCCTGTAGTTTGTACAATAAATACATCCGCAGGGCCTGCTCTCCTGAGCCGGGAAGCGTCCCCACGGGAGATTCAGTCCAGCTTCCGGGCTCCCAGCTTCATGGGGCCCTTGGCTGCCTTTTTCTCTGCGCGTTTGGCCTCCATCTCCCGCCGCCGCTCCTCACGCTTTTTCCGGGCCAATTCTGCCTTCACCTGCCCTGGGAGTGGGAAGGGGAGGATGGCTATGGGGCAGAACCAACCTCAGCTCCTCAGCCTTGCCCCAAGGCCTGGGAGCCCTGTTCTGCCCGATCAACCGCACAAGGGAAGCACTTACTGCTTTCAGTTTCCAGGCCCTCCCAGTTGTCCTCGCCCCAGGAGTCAGGCCTAGGCTGAAAAAGGAAGTGCTGGCTGCAGGAGGGCCAACTCCCCACTGAGTTCTACCCTAGGTTTGCACCCTCCTGCAGGGCCATGCTGAATACCTGGGCACTGGGACGTGTGGAAAGCGAAGCAAAGGGGTCACTCTTGTCATTGGGCTCTGAGCCACCCCAGTTATACTCGCTGGCCAGCCGTGTGCCCTCAGGAGGTGGCTCTGAGGACCTGGGCTCCTGCCAGCCCTGGTCCCAGGAGCCCTCAGCTTCCCAGCTGTTCCATTCTGACTCCGGAGATTTGTGGTCCTGGCTGCTGACCTGCAGAAGAGTAGGAAGGAGCAGTGGGAGTGGTGGGTAGGAGAGGAGTGTCGAATCTGCCCCCTATTCACACACCCTGCCTAGCTCAGCTCACCTGTCCAACACGGCTCCCTTGGCCCCCTGCTCTCCATTCATCCTGTTGGGCCAACACAGACTCGGCCTCCTGCTGCAGCATAGGAAGGAGGAGGAACCATCACTGGCCTCCCACCCTACCCAAAAAGGCCAGTAAGCCTGCCCCGCCTTTCCCTTTAGTCTCTTGGCCTCTGTCTCCTTTGTTCCCCAGGCCAATTCCCATCCGGAGTGTGGATGCTGGCCCCTGCCTGCCATCACCCTTCTACGGCAGGGGAATGAGACCCAGATGTCTATGTCCTTCCCACGGCCTTGGCGTCCAAGCATTGCCATCAGCCAGATGGGAAATGGCCCAGAGCTCTGCCAGCATTCTCTTCAGGGCAGTCCCCTTCTAGGCCTGGGAGTGGTCGCTCCTTGCTGACCTCCAGGGCTGGGTGGGCACTGGAGGAGTGGCGGAGGGACAGAATGTGGAGGAGAGGGAGGACATCTGGTGGGCTTTTCCCCCACCACCTCCCTGCCCCACCTTTTGTTTCTGACCCTGCTCTTGGAGGTCCCTGGAGTTCAGTGGGGTTCAGCTGCAGGCTCTGGACTATGGTGGGTGCTTCATGAGGTCTGCCAGCCAAGGACACTGTGCAGATGACAGGCCAACTCCAGCCAGGTCCCACATAAGCTCTTTGAATGGCAGCCTGGGCTTTGAGCTGGGGCATCCTGAGGAGTCCCCACAGCCCCGCTCACCTCCAAGCTGCCCCAGTCTTCATCATCCCATCTGTCAGCAGCACTGCTGTCTTCTGCTGTGTCCTTGTCCTCCTCCTGTGTCTCCCAGTGGTCTGAGGTTGTAGGGGTTGCAGGGACAGGGGTGGTGGCTGGGGCAGGAAGTCCTAGGAAGCAGAGGTTCACTGAGCTTTCAGGGGAATCTCAGGACAGAGCAAGTTGTAGGGAGGGGAACACAGGGAGAAGGAACACCATGGATGCCCACCTACCTTGACTCCTGTCCCCATCACCACCCGGGGGAGCCAGACAGTAATAATTTCTAGGTGCCTGTAGGACCTTCCAACCCTCTCAGCTGCTGGTGCAGCCAGCACTCACCCTCAGGCATTGGTCTCTGGGGGACACTGGCCTCAGCGGGAGCAGCCGTGGGGTGTGCCCGGATCAGCTTGGAGGTGAGTGAGGAGACCCCGGTTACAGCCCAGCCTGCCCAGCTGGCTGCGGCTCCTCCCATCCCAGGACTGGAGGCTGCATGGACATCCTTCTCTAGGCAATGCAGGAGAGAGAGGCAGGCAGGGGCATCTTAGGCTCCATGGGACAGGTGATAAGAGGGCAAGAACTGAAACAGAGTGCCCTAGAGTGGGCACTTCTCCAGGCCTGGGTTCTACCATCTATGAATTGAGAAGTGAGGAGAGGCGTCATGTGTGCTCACTAAGGTTTCTCCATTGGCTCCAAACTAACAGAGTGTGACACAACAGATGACAGTCACAGAGAAGGCCAGGGAAGAGGAACACATGTGTGAGCCACTCACCCACTTCTGCCAGTTGGGTGGGATCCTCTGACACAGACTCCAGTTTGGACAGGAAGCTTCGAATGGCCTTGAAGGCCTGCATGAGAGCAAGGGACAGAGCTGGAGGCTTCTGGGTTCCCAAGCTTGCCAGGCCAGCTAGGACCTGGATGTTCCCAAACCCCAGCCTTGGGGCTGAGTCCAGCTGTGCCTCACCTGGTCCCGCACAGATTTCTCGGGATCCACAGTGAGGCCACAGAGCACAGGCAGGATCTTGTGGGCACAGTCATCCATCGAGTAGAGGTTGTGGGTGGCAGCAAAACCCAGGACACCCGCAACCCGGGACGGTGCAAATGGGTCCTTAGTGGCTCGGCTGAAGGCGGAAGTGAGGACCCTGTGTCTGGTCTGGGGTGGGGCAGGGGAGAGGTTTCCTGAGTGTAGGGTCAATACTAGGGTCCATAATGCCACCCCTGACTTCTCAGACCACAGAGGCCATCATAAGGGCCCAAGTCTGAAATCTGAAAAATGTGAATTAATTACTAACAACTTAAATGGGGAGAATTTACATAGAGCTAAATATGGACTTCTTCCAGACCATGGGGCCCCACGCTGCCTCAGGGCAACAGGGGCAGGGCTACAGGCATGGGGCTCCCTAGCCTACCTGCCCTGCTGACCCAGTTCATTCATCCGAATGTACAAGCCCTGGGGCCAACTAGGCCGGGCCTTAGGTCCCAGATCCACCACCAACTCACTCTGCCTTTGGGAGCACCCAGAACCTAGCTCTCGAGGGCAAGAGCCCTGGCATGCAGAATTCCTGGCCCTGGAGAAAGCATTGGTTTTGTGACGGAGATGGGGGCTCCAGGCACCTGTGCAGGACACTCACGCTGGCACTGAGGTAGGAGCCAATTTTGCCCAGGCAGACCGTAGTGTTGCAGCGGATGGGGCCCTGCTCATCCTTGGCCTGCAGCCGCGCAAAGTGCTTCATCAACTCCATGTTGAGGTTGGCCTCGTTCAGCTTGGGGGCCAGGAGCAGCATGGACTGCAAGAGGGGACAGTGACACTTGTGGGGTAGGGTGAGCAGAGGACCCCACACAGGAATGGCTTCCATAGCCCTGCCAGAGCTCTCCAGACCTCACCTCCCAGCTCATTCTGGCTTTCTTCAGAATATTGAAAAAGGGGAACCCCTATTTCTCTGTTTCTTTTATCTCCCTACACACCTGTCTTCATTTCTCTCCTCTGCCTGCACTCTACTCAAGACTTTCATATACACATCCCTGACACATGCTACCAAACTGGCACGTCATTGATTACTTATTGCTAAATTCAATGACTAATTCTCTACCCTCATGAACTTGTTGGTAAATTCAATGGCTGATTCTCTATCTCTCTTTTTTTTTTAAGTGGGATTTTTTGCTATAAGTTGCATGTGCTCACCAGCAAAAGAGAGAGAGAAAGCGAGAAATCACCCCCCAGGGGGGATGGCCACACCACAATCCCTTCTCCATTCTCTTCTTGGGACCCTGGGCACACATGTTCACATGCCCACTGTGAGTTTTAGGCTGCTAGGTTTGAGACTCAAATCACAGTCCACGACGTGGGAGTCCAGCGACATAATCAGTATGCTACCTGCTGGTCCTTCTCCATCACTTTCTTTTCTTTTCTTTTTGTTAGGTTTTTGCCATAAAGAGGGAAAATGACAAATCACCCCCTAGGGAAGATGGTTATACCACAGTCCCTTCTCTCCATTCTCCTCCTAGGATTTTGTGCACGCACATGATTTTCAAGCTGCCAAGTCAGGGACTCGAACTGCAGTCGGCCATGTGGAAGTCCAGCACCATAACCACTACAACACCTACTGGCTCTTCTCTATCACTATCTAACATAATACACATTTTCTAATTTAGTTTATTGCCTGCAGAGCCCACCCTCTGCCCCCTTGGAAGGAAACCCCATGGGGAAGGAGCCTAAGCGCCTTGTGTACTCTGCATCCCAGCATAGAGCCTAGGGCTGGGCACAGAGAGGTGAGAGAGTGCTGAACGGAAGACGCAGACCCTGTCCACTCTGCTCCCCAGTCAGCTGCTGTGCTGTACCCATGCATGCACACATGCAGCATGGACGAAGCCTGCCCTGCCCATAACCTGCTCAGTTCCACAGACCAAACCAAAGTCTCTGTGTCCTGGGTGAGCCCTCTCTACGCCTTAGAAAACCAGGGGTGGTCACTCTGGACCTGGGTATCCTCACCTTGACTGTCTGCTCCCGGATGGCAGGGTTGGTGTCCAAGAAGCCATGCACAACATGGGGAAAGATCTGGGTGTTGACTGTTGGCTCATCAAGATATTGGATGAACTGCTCCATCTGTGGCCCAGTGAGAGTACAACACATTTAGCCTCTCCCACCCCCACCACAGCCTCAGGGCTTGTTTGTTTTTTTTTTTTTTTTTAAAAAAATTTTTTTTTTTAGGGGGCCCGTTGCCCACTAAATGCCTGTACTCACTAGAAATACAGAGAGACAGAAAGCAAGAAATCACCCCCCAGGAAGGATGGCCACACTGTGATCCCTTCTCCTTCGTTCTCCTCTTGGGATTTGGGGGACACACACACACATACACCCAGCATGAGTTTAAAGCTTCTGGGTCCAGGACTCAAACCAGTCAATTACGTGGGAATCCAGTGATATAACCATTATGCCATCTATTGGTCCCTCAGGGTCACACTTTTATTTTGTTTTTCCACCCAACAGGCCCTGGCTGGCCAGGTCTGACTCCTCTGGCCATGTATGGCTCTGGTCTATGTGGAGAGGTGAGGTGAGGCTAGGAGAGTGCTGGGAAGCATAGGGCTGGGAGTCAGAAGGTCTGACTCCGATCCTGTTCAGCTGGACACCTGTACTCTGTCCCCTTAGAGCTTCCACTGCCTCTTCTATAAAAGGGGGTATGGGAGAGTTGGATGGTGCCATAGCAGTAAGACACGACACTCTAAAGGGTGGCATACATGAGAAGGCTCCGGGTTTGTTTCCAGAGCGCTCCCTGAGTGTGCTAGGCACACGTGTGTCCATGATTTATAGCTGGCTGAGGCTGGGGGTGAACTGTGGCATTAGGATCCTGTTGGGGGTACTATCTCTGTCTATTTCTCACTCACGGAAGAAAGTAACTAATTAATTAAAATAATAATAATAATAGTAATAATAAAAGGGGTATGGCCCCTGTGAGGAAGCCTGGTGCCTTTGGCAGCTGGAAGGAGGAGCTGGAAGGAGGGAATGGCTCCTGGGAGCCACCACCACTTCTTGGCTCACAGGGTCCCCCACCTTGGGTCCTCTTAGTCCTGCCAGATGCTGTCCCAGCGTTGGCAGGGGAGACTTTAGAGGGCTCTAGTGACTGAGCCAGGAGTTGGGGGCATGTCTGAGCCCTGTAGACTGGGCAGGCTGGGCATGACCAAGGCTGCCAGTGAGCCCTGTGATCAGCTCAACTTTCTGAGAACCGGTCTCACTGGCCCCTCACTTGTGTAGATGCTCAGGGAGAGGTTTTTTTGGAGTCCCTGTGCCATCAGGGCAGTGGCTCTAGCCACCTGCCTAGGGACAGCCAGGGGGCAGCTTGGGTAGGGTGGACCAGGGCAGGGTCTGGCAGAGCCTCCTACCTGCTGAAGGAGGCGGATGCGCATGGCCCGGTCGGTGGACGAGAACATCTTGACCACCACAGGGATGATCTTCTGCTGGTACTCCTCGGAGCTGAGGAACTTGCCCACCTGGGGGACGGAGCAAGAGGGGCTCAGCACACCCACAGGACTGGAGGCTACACTGGGTTCACTTAACTTCCTGGAAGTCCCTGCTAATATCCCAGGGTGGGAATGTGGTGACGGCAGAGGAAAGACAGGTGTGTCCTCAGCAGCCCCTCTGCTCATACTCCAGCTCAGCTCCTTGGCCTTTCTGGTCAAGGCCTCTTTCAGGAGGCTGATGAAGCTCTGTGCCCTCCCTATGAAGAGGTGCCTATATGCCACACAGACACAGAATGCCGCCTATAATTTCTAGGGGTTCCCTGTTATGCAGGTAACTGTCTTGTCTGGCAACCCCTTCAGAGGAAGGGGCTCTCAGTAAGGTGGCAGAGCCGGAATGGCAGGGGGCCAA